ACCTTAACTTTAAAAGTGTTCTCCGACCCCTGCCATGCCCCCACACCAGCTGGCTTGGCTTGAAGAAGGGATTTAAAGAGACAAATGCTTTCTCCAAGCTGTGTGTGTGGGAGTTAAAATTGCTTTCTTTCTTCCCCCCTCACCTCAAGCCTACCAAGGGAGAGGAACACTGGCTAGGGAAGGGAAGACCAATCATGCCTCCCCTTCACTTCCCCAGTGCTTCCCCAGCTGCCCTGCCAGGAGCCGCACAATATGTGTGAAAGAGCTGCATGTGGCTCCCGAGCCACACTTTGGCCACCCCTGTTCTATGGTATCACATAACTGCTGAGCTCCCTCCTCTTCCAAAAATCTGCCCTCCAGAAACTCCATCCCATATCTCCAGGAATTTCTCAAACTGGAGTTGGGAGCTTAAATAATACAGTATCCATTCACAGTTAATATCCTATGTCTGTTCACATCAACAGAGCAATCCTATGGTCCCAGAATGTTGGCTGAAGAGGTAGAGATCACCACTAAGTGGTGTCATCTGCATTTCTAAAATTGTTTATGTTCCTTCCACCAGTTTTCACTTCACCTTCATCTAAATCTAATCCATCTTTCCTTATGATATGTTTTGAATATGGATTAAAGAGTTTTGACAGTTTTGCCAACTGGAAACCATTCTGTTTTTCCATATTCTGTCCCAATAGCAGCATCTTGTCCAGATTACAGGTTGCACACCAAAACAATCAGATGTACTTTTAAAACCAACCATAGCTTTTCATGATCCACACAGTCAAAAGCTTTGCTGTAATCTATGAAACACAAAGTGATTTCCTTCTGAAATTCTCTTGTATGCTTCAGTAAGCAACCTAAATTTACAATATGATCTCTAGTGCCTCTTCCTCTTCTGAATCTAGCGTGAACATCTGGCATTTCTCATTCCATATATGATAAGTCTCTTTTTCATAAGATTTTGAGCATTACTTTACTTGCAAGAAATTAATGTGATGGTCCAATAGTTGCTGCAAGTCTTTGATCTCTCTCTCTATTTATTATTTATTTATTTATTGACTTTCTACCCTGCCCTCCCAGACAGAGCTGGCTCAGGGCGGCTTACATAAGAAAACAGATAAGTTACATTAAAACATAAATTAGAATGTAGATTGAGTGTTTCCAGTCTGTGAGCCATTGCTTTGTTTTCCATGTTTGTTGGCATATTCTTGTTAAGATTTTGTTGGACTGTTTCTGTGTCTTGGAATAACTACAGATATTTCATCTTTTCCTGGAGATTTGTTTCTCCCGATTGCTCTCATTGCAGCTTCCACTGTAGGTTCTTCTTCAAAAGATTCTTCTTGGAGGGGGGGGGGGTCTGTCTGTCATCTTTTCATCTCTTTCGTATAGTTCCTCAGTGTACTGTTCCTGTCTTTTCTTTATTTTGTACTGTCCAGTTGACGTATATCCATGTTGATTTTTCAGCATGCCTAGCCATGTTTTAAATTTCCCTTTGATTTCCCTGTAATTTCAAATTTGAAACGTATTTACAATTTAATTACAATTTATTAAAACGTAATTACAATTTACAATATTACAAGTATGCCATGACCTGGATTGCCCAGGCTAGCCTGATTTTATCAGACCTCGGAAGCTAAGCAGGGTCGGTTCTGATTGGATGAGAGACCACCAGGGAAATCCACGGCTGCTATGTAGAAGAAGGCAATGGCAAACCAACTCTGCTTGTCTCTTGCCTTGAAAACCTTATGGGGTCACCATGATTTGGTTGTGACAGCACTTTCTACCACATAATTGCAAGTATAGGTGCTACTTCTGGCTTTTCAAGTGTATGCACTGAACTCACGGGATAGTGGCAATGTCACATACGCCCCAAGGTCAGGGGTAAGGCATGAATCACTGAAAACAAGACATGTTATGAGCAAATATTACTTCTGTTTCTGTGGAGTCAGCTACATTAATCACCACACTAGACAACCAGCAGCTATTGGAACATGCTCAGAATCCTGGGACAAGGCATCATTACCTACTTAGGCAACACAATACCCTTCCCCAAAACACGTCTCCTAAGCAGTAGCATGAGATCATTCATGTGTGCAATGTACTCGTAATCCAAGTTACAACATTCAGGGAAAAGTGAACATTTTTTCTAGTGTTTGAACATTCAAGGATGCCACCGTAATTTACAATAAAATTGCCATTGGAGCAGAGGAGAAACAGCAAGTGACAGGAGGACCTTAACCTATCCAGAGAGAAAGCGAGTAATCATCTGATTGGGAGCGAAAGCAAGGAATCACCTGATGAAAGCAAGAACTCAGTCCAAGAGAATAAGCAGGACCCAATAGAGGAGAAGAAAGCAAACTGACAAGAAGGCAACACTGGTCAAGAGAAGGAAAACTTGACAAGTAGGGGAACAGCCAATAGGCTGTGAATGAAGAAAAAGTTCAAAGAACACCATTCCACAGCTGATATTGTGGACATGTGGGGTTCACGCTTAATCCTGTTATAACTGTTTGTTTAATTTCTGAGAGCTGCTCTAGAAGTTTTTCCAGGCCCCTTCCCACCCCTGTGTCAGTGAGGGAAGAGAGGGGTCCTTGGTGTGTGTGTGTGTGTGAGAGAGTAATCTATGATTATTTTGGATTCAAAACCCTCAGGTAGCTAAAGCCTGATAACAGTTGTTTGGTATTTGCGGAGATAGGGAACAACTAAAGAGACAGGGAATGTTAAGTGTGGAAGCATGGTTTCCATCTTCCCCTAGGACCCCTGCCCAGAGTACTATGATGGCATGGATGCCTTGCTTTCTAGAAGGGGTGCGTGCATAGCACTGAGCCATGTGGATGGGTGGGATATAAAAGCTCTAATTAATAAATAATAAATTGCACCATGCATGGAGTGATGCTTTTCATGAGCAATGAGCACATTATGCTTAGCAGATTTGTCAGGCACATAGTGGGAATTTTTCTACTTGAGCAACTACAGTGTTCTGTGACTCCCACAACTGATCAGCATGCAATGTTGTACTGATGGAAGCCTTAGTGTAGCAACCACTTGATATTCCTTGACCATTGCTTTGCCCAAGTCCTTAATGTCATTCCCTGAAACTATCCATTTTTATCCCATCAAAGAGGCCAGGGCAGTGAACCTGGCTCTTCTCCTCTTTGACTCACATGACAACCAGTTGAGGTGGGTTAGTGTGGGAGATCACTAAGTGATCACTAAGTGAAGATCTAGATCTGCATCTCTCCAGTTCTAGTCAGGTAGCACTCTGATAATGACAACGCATTGGCTTCCCTGGTTCTTTTCTTCCTTCCTCTCTGCCCCAGCAGGAAACCACATGCTTCTACAAACAATTATTCAGAAGAGAAAAACTGAAACAGAGAATAGTCCGATCTTTGTCAGTTGACAACAACTGTTAAATTTGTTTGTAAATTTTTATTGTGTTTTATTGTAATTTATTGTTTTAATCATGTATTACTGTTTTGACCTTGGCACATGGTGCCCTTGTGAGCCGCCCTGAGCCTTCGGGGTAGGGCGGGATATAAATTCAAATATAAATGTAATCAGAAGCTGCCTTGAATGCATTAGATGTAATGTGAAACATCTCACTAGGAAGCTATGTTAAGCTTCATCTGACTATTTGTTAAGCTCAGAACAATAAATAAATAAATAAATAATAAATAAAGACTGGATGAAAGTGCTTCTGACTCCATAAAGACCGTATACAAAACTAGTGTAGTGATTTTAGTGTCAGACTAGGATCTCAAAGTGTCAGACTAGGTATTGAGTCACCACTCTGCCATGGAAGCTCATTTGGTGATTTGGGATACTCATACTCAGCCTAACCTACCTTGCAAGGCTGTTATGAGGATAAAATGCTCTAGACTGATCCTGCATTCAGCAGGGGGTTGAACTAGATGGCCTGTGATGGCCCCTTCCACCTCTGTGACTCTATGATTCTATGATAAAATGGAGCAGCAGAGAATATTATAAGCTACTTTGTGCAACTGAACAACAACAACTTTGGGTCTCCATTTTGGGGGAAAGGGGGATATAAATGAAATAAAGTAAAATAAAAACAAGAAGCACAATCTAAAGGTAAAATGTGATCCAGAAGGCATGGCCATACACAGAACACTTGAATGACTACTTGAAGGCTATCAGTTGTTTGAAGATACAGCCTTCTCCCTCCCAAAGCACATCCCCGAAGCCCAAGAAATGTTTTTGCTTCCCGTATCACTGGTGCTTCTGTTCTCGAACATGCATGCAGAAATCTCTGTCAAAATATGGCTCTAACACTATCGGAGTGATGTATCACTGGAATGGATGAGCCACAGGATTCCTATGCTAACCAGTGAAATAAATCAGAAGTCCAAGGACAATTAAGAGATTATGACCAGAACTAACTTCAACATAAGCTTTCCTGCCTCTGATGAAACATGATTCCATGCATTTGACGGTCAAACCTGATCCCCCATTTTATGCTGAAACAAATTCTATTCATCCTGTTTCGTTTCGTTTCGGCAGACTAACGGGCTACCAGTCTGGAACTCTGTTTGGTATATAAACTAAGCGCTGTTTGTCTTTAAGGTGCCACGGGATTTCAATTTTATTGTACTATTGTTTTCTGCTCAAACTTTGTTCTACAGCTACCGTTGTTGCAGCACAGTCTTCCTGTAACCTATTTGTGGAAGAGCTAAACTGCAGCTGTACAGCTGGAAGGGAAGAAAGGCGAGAGAAATCGCACAGCAAAGATCTGGCAGAGGCTAACGGCAAGCAACATTATAAGGCGCATTGTACATTGAAGCTGCCTGCCCCCCAGCCCGGCTCTCCGCTACACCAGGCAAGGAGTTTCGAACGGCCCACGATAGACAAAGCGCCCGCCTCCCATTGGTAGTTTCGTCCAAGGTTCGGGCTTCCTTTCCGCGCGCCGCGGCCAATAGGCTCATTGAGATGCAAATCAGAGGCTATAAATAAGGCTGGGGCGGCCGCACCGCAAGGGGGCGGGGGAGTGGGGCTGAGTCTGGTTCGAGTTGGCGGTAGCAAATTCCTTCTTTTTTTGCACTGTTATTTCCCTGCCGCCGCCTCCCTCTCCACCCACTCCCCGCCCCCCCCCCCCCCCCCGGCAATCCCGCCCGACTTGCCTATCCCCTGCGTAGTCCTGCCTTTGCTGCATTGCACCCCGATCCGACCATGGCGCCCTCTTTTCGGCCCAGCAAGACCCGCCCGAGCCGGGACGAGGAGGATTTCTATGAGGCCAAAGGAGACCGGAAGGTGAGCGATGCCGAGGAAGCCGCGGATCTGGTGGGGAAGGAGGGCAGGAGTGCCGTGGGAGGCCTGCAAAATGCGCGCGGCGGTGACGAGCGGCATCTCTTTTTCTCCTCTTTTTGGGCAGGCGAGGAAGCCGCTGGTGGAGAAGAAGCGGCGGGCGCGGATCAATGAGAGCCTGCAAGAGCTGCGGCTGATCTTGGCGGACGCGGAGGTAACTCTCCGGCTTTGGGGCAGAGGTGGGGCTGTGCGACGGGGGGGGAGAGGAAGTCTCTGGGTGAGTGCCCACCCACTGCCGGCCCTTGCAGAGCCAAAGAGCCTCGGACGGACGGGGTGGGTGGGAGACACTCGGTTAAATCGAAGGGGGTTGTTGAAGGCACCACATGGGGCTGCTGAGAGTAGGCGAGGGGTGCCTTGCGTGGCTTCCCAAAGTTGGAGGAAGAGAGCACCAGACTGTACCTGCAGCCAAAACAGTTTGTTACTGGGAGCCTTCCGGGCTGTCCTCCCCACCCCCCAACTTTAACAATGTTTCACTTCTGTATTGTGTTTCTCGCTGCCATTTTCGTGGACAACAAGCTATGTCTTTTTCTGATGGAGAAAGAAAAGTGTGGCCCAGTTCATTTCCTCTTGGTTCTTGCTGCTTGGATTTTTTTATTTTATTTTTTTGCATTTTTATTCCTCTGTTTTGGAGAGCAGACTATACAATCCTTTCTCCAAATTAATGGAGCCATTGATAATTTGAACATCGCTCCCACATGGTTTGGGCAAAAGCTGCCATCTCATTATGCTCTGGGGCATTCCCCTGTGGCACTTCCCAATGGCTGCTGGCGACTGTTTCTAAGGCGTTCCAGGGGAACAGGCCACTCCGCAGAATGCAGCTGATGGGATGATGTTTGGGGTGAAGAGATCTGGGAGAATGTGTGTATGTTAAAAGGTGGCTTTTATGATTTGTCTGTCATTGCAATTTGGTCCATGTTTTTCATGCTGTGATTCCACAGTTTCTGCAAATTGGCTGAGTTTTGCATGAGGCCTGGGATGAAACATTCTACACAAATGGAACTCAGTCCAGATTAATGAGTTCTGGGTTGCCTGAGAAAAAGGGGGTGTATAAATACTTTAAATAAATATTCTCGCCTTAATCAAGTTCTTGGGGTATTCATAAAGGTTCATAAAGACTTATGTTGCAGGCACGCCACTTCTTCCAGTGGTAGCCCACCAATCCCACTGAATGAAAACTTAACATTTTCCCCAATATACTTCATTTTTGTCCGCCATCATGAGTGAGGAGGCATTTTGACTATTCAGTGCCTCAGTTTAGAAGGTTCTTGACCTGTGAAAGTGTATTGTAGAGGAAATAGCTTCATTTATATTTGAGGATGAGAAAACCGAATTGTATATATGATTGACTGTTCTTTGACTCCTGCTTTGTTTTGTTTCCTTGTCTGCTGACGGTCTCAGATAGTGACAAACTGCAGCGGGAGGCCAGTGAGCGATTTGCAGCTGGGTACATTCAGTGCATGCATGAAGTTCATACATTTGTTTCCAACTGCCCTGGGATTGATTCCACCATTGCAGCGGAGCTGTTGAATCACCTTCTGGAGTCCATGCCTCTGAATGAAGGCAGTTTCCAGGACCTCATTGTGGACGTCTTGTCGGATCCTTCTGTCAGCCAGTGGCCTAGCGGTGAAGGGTTCCCTCAAATACCTGGAGCATCTCCTGGAGTTCTAAGCCTGCCCAGTCCCACTTCACCTCTTCTTTCGCCTTCTCCCAGCGAAGAAGTTTGCTCTGATCTTGAAGACACAGAGGCTGAGCAAAGCCACATCTCTTTGGATGGACTGGACAGGTCTAGGACGCACAACATGCCTTCCTCCAGCCTTTCCAAATCTATGTGGAGACCTTGGTAGTAAAGGAACTGTGACAAAGGAACCAACGAAGATCTACCTATAGGGAGAATACTTGAGCACTGTGTTCTTCTAGCCAATGGAATATAGACGGTGAGGATTTCAGATGGTGCATTTGTGTTGTGATATTGCTGTATTTCAAGACTGTATAGATGGCATTCTTACACTGTCAAACCCTGACAGGCTAATAGCTGGATGTGCTAACATTTCATCTGTATGTGTGAGGGATGAGTTTTGTAAGCCCTGGTTTCTTTTATTAGGGGTGTGGGATTTAAAAGGATGGAAGCGTGCAAGCAGAGAGCTCTTTTGATGATGATCTATAACAGTGTTTTGCAACTTATTTCTATGTTTCTTTTGGGTTTTTCTGGGGTGGGGGGTTGGCCCTAATAAGTGGCCCAGATATCACTACCTTTTTTATTTGGTTAGGCAGAAGCTGTTGTGCATTTGAAAACTTCAATGCAACAAAAGGTATTAAGTTTTAACTGTCTGTGCACAACTTCAGTTTTTCTAGTGATAGCATAAAAAGGAAAATCCCTGAAAGGGATTGGTGAGGCTAGTCTAATGAAGAGTTTAGTGGTCTAGGATCTTGCCTTCAGTGAAGGGAGAGAAAACTAGAGGCCAGACTGGAATTAGGTGAGCAACTAAATATTGGTGGCAGGGTGCCTTCTAGAATTGTTTCTTATGCACATCTTCTAGTGCATTTGGATTTATTGTGGTATGTATATTAGCTTGTCAAATGTTTTATTTTTAATCTTTTAATAAAAAAACTAAATTCACCAATGATTGCATGTATTTTGGGGTGTGGCGCTTGTGCTCTAGAAACTCAGTTCATGTTAGCAATTAACCAGTAATATATCCTTGAGTGCAAATGTTGGTAATTAAGCACTTAATTCTTGTACTGTACTTGTCTGTTCAAGTATGGGCAGTGGGAACGTTCCATTGGTTCAGGATTCTTGGGCTAATGCAGGGGTGATGGGGTTGGAGTTTGTTTTAATTTGGGGTGCTACATTCCTGGCCTTGATTATGTACATTCCGAGTTTTAAGTTGTCACTTAATTGGTCTTTATGAGTTTTTTAAAAGAAAAAAAAATCTGCACTTGTGCTGGTCTGAGCCTTGTGTGCATTCCCTTTGAAGTAAGCCCCACTGTGTTCAGTAGGGTCTTCTCCTAAGATGGTGTGCATAGAATTGCAGCCTGGTGAAACCTCTCTCTGATTGAATGAAAAACCTTTAAATGACATGCAGTGGAGTAGAAAGCTCAGCAGATCTGCTATGGTGTTAGCCTTCCTCCAGGTAAAACCAGTCTCTGTTTTTGTTTTGTTTTGGGAGATGTGTGAGCTGTTTGTGCTGTTACCTTTCCACAGAGCTGTCTTTGTAACATAGACCAATGCTGTAAAGTTACTTAACACATGCAAGTGTCCCAGCATCGCAAAAGGGGGAGGATCAAAAATAAGATAGGGAACTATAGCTATGTCATCTTCCTTTTTGTTAATCATATGGAATAATAAAAGTGGAAACTGTCATTATTGGTAGATGTGTGCTTTGTAACTGTCTTTAAGCCGTCTGATGTGGATGCTCTAAATTCAGAGCCTGTCAAAAGGGTTGTTTCTCTCTGACTGTGCTAAATTCTCACCTACCTTTGAACTAGAAGGCCCACACCCTTCCTCCCCACCACCACCCCTGTAAATACTTTCTTGCTTTTACAGTGGAAACGGACTGTTTTGATGTGTAAACTAAGCAATAGTTTGGACAGTTCAAGTGGAAATAACATCCTATGCATAATGACTTTGAGAAACAGCATGGAACTCTGGATATAACCTGTAATTATAGTAGCCTGGCTTAATTTATTTGATTTCAATGAATTTTTCTTTTAAGTGGGAAAAAAGTTCCTTTAAGGTCCACACGAGTAGAACTTTCATGGATTGTGTGTGTGTGTTTAAAGGCAGCACTTCAGTGAGTAAAAAAGAAATAAGAACTTTAGTCCTCATTAGTACTCTGGAAGAGAAGCATAAGAGTGTCAAACCCATTGGAGAATCATGTTCTCTACCCAACAGATACCTTTAGTTTTTATCCATAATGAAGAGCAGCATCCCAATTAAATTTAATGAAGACCTCAATTCAGCATCAGATAGCTGTTTTGATTGTAGTAGGTGGTATACATTCTGCTTCTGTTTTGCCAAGTAAGGTGTTCTTGAGGTCTTAAATGTTATTTTGACTTGGTGTATTTTGATAGGCCCAATTCTGCTAGTGGAAAGGGTACATCTGAATTAGTTGTCATATGTGAAAATAAAGTTGTTCTATAAATGACTTGTCTTCTGCTGTGTAACCAAGAATTATAGGGCTCTTTGAAGCAGGGTCTTTCTTGGTATCTAAATGTCCCCCCCCCCCCCAAATTTAGTCTATGTAAGTAAGTGAAGAGAGTTTGCAATTTTAGACCATGGTGTGAAGAAAACAGAAACCATGTAATCAAGTACAGTGTTGTACACAACTCCATGATTCACATTCCTGTATAACATTTATATGAGTAATTTTTCCCATATAAATATTCCAGACTCAAGAACAGCTGGGATACCACCATCACTGACCCAGTCCATGGTATTTCAGACTGGAGATGAGCCATCTGTATATGTGCTGGGGTGAAGGGTGATAGTTACCTTTGTGTAACTTGATAGCCATAAGCCTGAAACGTAAAGCTTGACATATTATTAATGCATGATTTGTGGTCCCACTGGGACCATCAAGAGGTGGGTCACATGTCAATATAAAGGCTAATTCAGTCTAAAAACTGAGTAGAAAGAGGCTATGAGCAAGGCCCAGGAAGATACTTCTACTGAGGCTTCTAGGTTGGGAGTGGGGCAGGAGTTTTAATAGCTGAGGTGGTGTGCATACAACATTAAAGTAGGCCAGTAGCTGGGATTTTATATGTTTGTGTCGGCACAGTGTCTAATTGAATATTTTTGAGAGTAGCAGTTGACCCATATATTTGTTTTGAACTCTGCCTCAGGGCTCTGTAACTAACTTAATTTTGGCATACTCTCTCTGACTGCCTTCTTTATTCATCAACTAGCCACAATCTCTTTCCTGTTTGTTTGAAGGTATTACAGCTGTACAAAACTAGCAGCTGTGGTGTGTCCTCAGCAGCTTTCTCAGTTGTGGGTGTTTCTGGCCCTCTAAACTCCAGGCCACATTGACCTCAGGGTTCTGTCATGCATGCTGAAATCTGCCATAGGAAACTATATATTAATTGTTGAAAATTTGCCCTTTATCCAAGGAATTCAGGGCAGTGTGTGAGTCACACCGCCCCTTATTTTTTCCTGAAAACAACCTGTTGAGACAAGGAAGAAAAGAGAGCTGTCCATGGCAGTGTGTGGATTTGAATCCAGGTCCCTTCAGTTGAATAACAACTAGTACATCACAACTGGCCCTAAAGTTCAGCCACCCATGTCACTCTGAATCACAGCTGTGGTAAAATGCAGCCACCTAGTGCCCCCACTATGCACACAAACAAATGGAAAGGGTAGAACAAAGTTCGAGTCCAACAAAGTTGGGTATAAGGGCAGCAGTGCTTTGGTTTCCAGGCCTTAACTGTGACAAATGCATAACTGAGACAACACTCTGAGCATGAGAAATCTTAAAATGAGTTTTTTTGCCATATACTAGTTGTGTGTGTGTGTGTGTATTTCCCTTTTGGGAAAGGCGGGGTGGTGGTGCAGTTAGAAGTACATTTAGTTCATAAAGCTCTGCTTTTCTGCCCCTCCAGAGAATCTGCCTGCAGCAGGTCTTCATGTAATGATTCAGCTGCTTCAGAGGCTGTTTGTATACATGGCGCTGGCTGAATTGATGGTCTTCTGGAGTGTACCATTTCAGATTGTGTGGGAAGAAGCTATTGTATTTCTGAACACTTTTCACATAGAAAGCTTCCTCCTTGTTTTATTACATGTACCACGTTTGTTCAAGGGGCAGTATTCCAAACATGCCCTCTTATCTTTTATCTGAAGTAGTACACTTCTGACACCTGCAAACACAGATGGCTTAATGCTGAGAATAGCTCAGAGGCATTGTAATCTAGAGCGTTTGTGTGCAGTAAGATCTAATATCTATCCAGAATTAATATCTTTCTTTTTTCTAAAGAGCTCAGAGCGGGCACACATGGTTCTCTCTTTTCTCCACACAACTTTATGAGGTAGTTTAGACTGAGAGAAAAAAAAAAATCACCTAGTGAGTTTTCACGGCAAAGTGGGGAACTGAACCAAGGTCTTCCCAGTCCAAGTCTGACACTAACCACTACACTGTACTGGCTCACATAGCCAATTACGTCTGATAGGATAATTACTGACAACTTTCTGCAAATGTTTCCAGGATTCCACCCCCCCTCTCCATTGGTAATGTGCAAGATTTAGAATTCTCTAGAGCTATTCATTGGGCTGGCAGTTTAAAAAAACAACAACACAAGGGGTGGGGAGATCACTGGCCATGATTAGGATGCTGACAAAGAATTCTTAAGATCATGGTCTGAGAGTTCTCCCACACCCTTTGAAAACACCCAGAGAGAGATCTGGTCAACTGTGCTTTGGTTAGACTGCTGGTCAGGGCCAGCTATCAGGAGTATGTGACCCCAGTATTACAGCACTTACACTGGCTAATGGAACAGACTTCCCAGGAGTCACCGTCAGTCTTTAGGAGGCCATTGAAGATTTAGGACTGCATTTGGTTAAGTTTACTAGCAGTCCTGAGTTGTGATTTAAAATGTTCATTTTTATGTTTTTAATGTATTTTATCTATGTTGTAAGCTGTCTTGAGCTCTGTAATGAACAAAGGCGGCTAATAAGTATTTTTAAATAAATAACTTGAAAGCTTGCAGTCTGTTTTAGACTGGCCTTCATAAAAGGTACTGTGTGGCTTTTGTCTTTGGATTTCCCCCCAGGCTGTGTTGCTGGCCACCACCCTGCACCACACTGCTCTCAGGAAGGAAAGGTGTTCAGCAGCTGGGCACGATCTTATTTTCATTTCCATAAGATGAAAGGAAGCCATTGGTTAGGACTGTTGTGGAAGGAAAATCCTGACATTCTGGCTAAGGGAATATCACTAGCATGGTGTTGGAAGTTGGTTAGTTACTTTAATTTCAGTGACATCAACTTGCAGGTAAACTCATTTGTCAAGTGACTTTCGTATCCTGTTTTGAGGCCATAATTTTTCAAGTGTTTCCTTTATGGGGGTTGCCATAAATCTGTGGATATAAATGCTATATTTACAGTCTTCTACATGAAGTGGTTTATAACCACTGTTAGACACGGTGCTGATGAATAGCCCCCCCCCCCCCACCGCAGCCAAAAATAAATGGGAGGGAGGAACTTGGTGAGCTTAATGAGAGCTTTTTTCCTGCTCAGTTTCATTTAGAGAAAAGTCCCCATGACTACCACTGGGAAGAAAGAGACAAAAATTGGATTAATAGTCTGGTTTACAATCAACCCTAAACAAAAGTAAAGCTTAATTAAAGTGTCTGCTGCTAGAAGAAACTGAGAGTGTTCATGTGCATGATAGGTATGTAATTTGGGGATTCTACATTGTATATTTTGCCTACTTATGTAAATGCGTGGAGGAGGGTTATAACCAGGAAGCCAAACAAATGGGTTATTCTGTCTTTCAAATAAGCAGGCATAGGACTATCTTGAGGGGTTTCCCCCCCCCCCTGTTAAAAATAACTATTCTAAAGATGTTGTACAATTAAACTTAACTATCAAAAGCATTTGAAAAATGTGTAAGAATTCTTTTTTTTTTTAAATCCACAAATTAGGTTCACAGAAAGTTTACATCCTCTGATTAGGTGTTACTGGGTTTCAAAAAATTTGCATTTCTGTACCTTACTGCAAAGGTGTGAGATCTGACACTTTCCTGATAAAAGCAGGAAGAGATGAGCATTTCAAGGGAGGAAAAATGAGGTTTCCAGCAGTTACACTGAAAACAAGTAGAGTCCTTTTCATGGTTTCTCTCTTCACCCTACCCCCCTCCCCTGTTTAGAAACTGCCTTTATTCTTTGTAATTTCAAAGTAATAGCAAGACTCTAGCTGGGCTGTGTGTGTACCAGATTATAAAAGGAGAGATTCCCTCTCATGGTAGGACAAGGAGGATTTTTGTTTGATATGCAGTTGGGAATTCCTAGAGTCAATAACACTGCCCCAGTGAAAGTGACCAGGGATGATCCCTTGTAAATAACCTGCATCCCTTAAAAGGGTCTGAGAGGAAAATTTGTTGCTACTGAGGAAAAAGAATGCCGCGCAAAGGGACTGCTATTTGACCTCACAAATAAGCTTGTTAAATAGGATCGGCTTAATTGATAACTGAATAAAAAGGGAAAGTCTCTAAAAATGTAGAGATTATAGAATAAAGATTGCTGCTAGCCAAAAAGCCATTGTCCATCCTTTCTCCTTTCACCTGTCCTGAGGAAGGGCATTATGTCTATTCCTGCAGTGTGTTTCAGCAAGATGCGTACTGACTTAAGATGGATGCCTGTAATACTCAGGTTATCCAAGAGGCAGTGGTAAAGAATACACAGAAAGAGAACAGTGGTACCTTGAAGTCTAAGAACAGTGTATGGTGGTGTAGGGTTTTGCAAGCCAGAGTCCCAGTTTCTAAAACGCACACAAGGGTCAGCTAAGGTGTATGTATAAATGTGTACAAAAAGAAGGAAAGGTGGGGAAGATTACTAGCTAAGGCCAGAAGATTAAGCATGCAAGAGAATGCTGTAAATGCTTCATATTATTATGCAGAGTTAAATAAACCCAATCCAGGCAAGGTCTACTGAAGTGTCACTGACCAGGACATGCAAATGATCACCAGTAGACTTTAGTTCTACTATTTTAATGGATCTTACAGTATGCATACTATTTTTCTAATTTACCCTTTAACACATCTCCAGAAGTAATGCAGTTGAGGGATTTGACCCTGTTAATGTCCAGTTTGAAGCATTGTTTTCAGTTCTGGACAGTAAAAGTCAAGATATGTGTCTCCGCAACTCAAAACACCTGCCACAAGGATTATTAAAGGGGTTTGGAAGGTAAGATGTTTCAGTCAGTGTTGGAAGATTAGGTGAAATTCTCTGTTCCATAAAATCGTATGCATCTCAGCCTGTAGATCTGTAAAATCAGGTGCCTTTTAGATGCTCCCACTGGGGAGAGGCATATGTGACCTGTCCTGGGCGATATACATGCTTTTCCTTCAGACCAGGCAACTTC